GGTCACTTTTATGTAAGTTTGCCAAAAGGGACATAAACCAGGACAATTTCAAACTGTGACACAGGATAGAAGTATATTAAAAAAATCTTTGTTCCTCCTCCATTGTGCTGTCATGTTGCTCAGCTTTATAGACATTCTGAGCACCAGCTCTGGCCTCTTCGCTTCCACCTGGTCTACCTAATTAATTAAGCAAGGAAGTTACCTCAAATTTTTGTACTATTTGTTTTTACTATCATGCACTTCTTTTGATGTTCCAGGAGTTAACCTCTTAATCCACAGACTTTGTGTGTTGTGTTCTGAACATTTTGGGATGTCTGGATAATTTGGATAATTGGTCAGGATGTTGCTGTCGCTCATGTTAAACTTTATGCTATGACTTCAAGTTCAAAGATCAGTATTAAGGTAAAATACTTCATAAAGCCTTTTTAAAACTCTACACTTGTGATTATACAATACCCAGTTATTCCAGTTTGTCACAGTGGTTAGGTTGCACTATTTGTATTTTCTTACAAGGAAATTACTCTTAAACATCTTTACCTTTGTCAACTTCAAATACATACAAATTTCTGCTGAAGTTACATCAAGAGAAAGCATATTTTAAAGGTCAAGAAAAGGTATAGCAATTATCTCCTCAAAAATGATTGCCTCCTTCACACAGCAGCACATATGTAATTTTCTGTGCAGTGACCTACAGATGCTCAACTGCAAATATCACATTTTTTCTTTTTGGAGGGAATGACAAAGAATGAGGTTGATTCTGACACAAAGAAACACAGCTGACATCTTTGCTTCATAACTACTACAGAATCTGAGCACATCACTGATGAAGAACTGAAAGGTTTTCTAAACAAGGAACATAACTTTATGCACAGACTATACAAAGGAAGACAAGGAGAACATAGAAAGATATGAAACCGCTTTTAAAACTGATGCAGGAGATCAAAGTTACATCAAGTACTCCAATAGCTCAGTTAATGCACTGGCTAAGGTGTAATGTATCACTGTGACCTTCAATTACTTCAGTAGTTTTGAAAAACTAAATTCACATATCTGCACAAAAATACACGTGTCCATACACACATATATGCACATACATGTCTGTATATCATACACCTCCAATATTGTGTTTCTAATTATTGTTCTGATATCAGAAATCTGCAACTGCCATTAAATGGAAATAAACTAGAGCAAAGAGCAGCACTTAAGCTCCTTAAAAGGGCATGGTCAACCTCCCTAGGCCCAAAATGCCCTTTTTGAATTAACATAGTGGTTTTTTATTAAAAACTAGGCAAGGAATCAGTCTGAATTTCAGGAGAGCACTGCATCCGTCTATGGCGGGTGTCTAATTTCCGAATTTCTCTCCTCTGCACAATATGCAAGCCCTTGGTGGTTTTAAACTGTTGCCCTGGGGAATTAAACTGAGTCTATAAGGGGGGCCATGTGCCATTTAGAAAGTATACTAGCAGCCAAGAAAAAAAAACCTTAGCAAATTGGAAGATGGTTAATCAAACCCATTCTGATTCAGGAAACTCAAACAGTTAAGGGAGCAAGGCTACAATACAGGAACATGGAAAGAAAGGTTATACAAAGCTTTAACAGCAACCTATGAGCTATTTGAAATATCATAGCTCGCAAAAAAGTCACATTACAGTCAGTGCATAAAATCAGCTCTTATAGCACAGTCTATGATAAACACTCAAATAGATGGCTAAAAACTTTGATGGTTAGGTCCATATGTGATAATAACTAAAATTACTGTTGCTATTTAATCTGAACAAAGACATCCATTAAAAAGTAAAAAAATCTGTTCCATTTCAGAAATGAACCTCTTTTAATGATTCATTTTCACAACTTCTATCAAAATCCAGCCAGTAATTCATATATGAACACGTTCAAATAGACACCTCCACTGTGCACACCTAAATCTCAAATGACCTATGTAGTCATTATAACGAAGGTAATTCAATGACAAATCCAAGATGACTTGCATAAAAGCTTCCATGGCAGCAGTCATCTTATCCAAATTTTGAGCTGAGTTGGGTATCTAGAATCAACTGCTTTTACAACTCCCAACTGAAAGATTAAAGATTACATATCCATGCCAAATCTCTTTACTGAATGTCTTTACACTTACAGTAGCTTGCTCTTCTCTTAAATGCTGCAAGTTTTGCCAAATGTATGAAATGTTCTTTTAAATTGAGACCACTGAAATCTTGATTTTTCCAGTGAACAGTAATAGCATTTGAACAATGTTTTATCTCTCTGGTCCATTAGTTTGATGTGATGGATGACAAAATACAACATTTTTTTAAATTTACACAAAATAATTTGTTAAAGTAACAGAATTCTACAAAGCAATCATGGTCTCAAAATATTATCTGAAAAGAGGTAAGAAATATAACAAAAATCTACAGGAAGTAAAATAAGATGGGAAATACCCTTCCTTCACAGATTCTACAACTGAAAAACCTACATGTAATCCCAAGTTTGATTAATCATAAATTTTCCCAGATTCTAAGTACCCAATTACGTGATGTAATATTTTAAAATATATATAGTAATTATTGCAAGTAGAATTGTTTATCTGCATGAGCATCTGAACAGAACAGCACATTCAATTTTAACTACCAACTTAGTCCAGAAGTGACATCTGCCATTTATTTTCCAACAAAAGTGATCAAAGACAAGGTATGTTCATATTAAAATAGACCACAATTTCTACATCTTCACCATCGGCCTTGAGGCTCACTCCAAACTGATCAAACAATTCAGTATGTCTGCATCCATTTTGGATACTTTGAAACAGAGCAGTCTGGTAGAACAGATATTGGATAAAGGCCTTGAGCACTTATACCAGGAATCACATTTGGCATCTGGGATGTTCCAAAAACATCGAGAAGTAAAAAAAAAAAATTCCAAAATTGAGTTCACTGCCCTTTCAAAAGGTGGGTCTTAATACTAAAATCTGATCTCATCTACCCCATGAAAAAGCCAAACTACTCTAAAGCAGCAACAATCACCTTTTTCCTGACATCTGAAAAAGATTATGGTTCTATCTCATCTGGAGTTACAGATGCTTCCCAGCTTAAACATGTAATGGTCATTTTATTTATCCTGAATGGGATTTATTGATAGCCACTATCACTGTTACTATCAAAGTTTCACGTAAAGCTCAAGTTCAATGTATCCGGGATACATAAAGTATCTGTTGGAGCCAAGAGAACTCTGCAAGTCAAGGGGACACACCAGAATGATGGCACCTGGCACGCTAATGGAGAGAATCCTTGGTTTTGTTGGGTTGCAGGAGACACAAACCTCACTGAAATCAGTTAACTTATTTTTTTAGAAGAAAAGATACACATTAGCAATGGCTAGACACTTAAAGGAAAATGGGTGGCCTCCACACAAAAACTGGAAGGACAAATGGAGTTGCTAAAAGTTCTTAGGCCTGTAGACACCTGAAGTGGAGGAAGAAGAGAGGAGAGTGTTTTCCAGCCAAGAGCGACAAAAGGAGTTAAACACAGTAGCCCATCATCAAACTCCTTTAAAGTTGAATGCATTAGTTTGCTCATCCAAACTCGTAGCTGAAGGGCCCTGGACACACATCTGCAGTTTGGTCAATACACGGCAAAGACGCGGCATCATCAGCTCAGCACAAGGCAATGCCAAACAACATTTACACACCAGCAGGGCCCGGCCAGGGTGGTGTTTTCTGCCACAGCTCAGTCTAAGTAATATCTCCCAGTACCTTGAGCTGTGGAATACAGTTTTCGCTTCTCCACGTTGTTCTCTCGAATTAAAATTTTTCTTAGAAACTACTGCATGAAGGATCTGTTTTCTCTCTTAAATGAGCCCTAAAATCCCAACTTGAATGCAGCACTTCAGTTGAGTTTTCCCTAATTCCACCAAGAGCAAAAATGGCAACATCACTGCCTCCATGCCAGTTCCCGTCAATGCCACCAGGAATTACGTTTTCCTTCCAAACACAATTATGCCCCTGTGGCTTTACATGACATGCCATCCATCAATGATTCATAGTCTTTATAATCCATCTTTAATTCTTTTCATTTTCCAGACTTCAGATCACTTTCCAAGACCCTTTGCTTTCTGAGAACTGTCATCCGAAGGGAACAGAATTCCCTCAAGTGTAGTATCATTAAAAACAAAAGTGTAATCATTTGGATGATAAAGATTAATGGAAACGCGTTACAATTGGTCCCCAGACAGTCATTCCAGTTTAATCTATTTGATATTTATGATTTGAAATTCATTTTGATGTGCCTCCATTATAGTAATTTTTCACTGTAATTCTTTAGTTCACATATTAACACAACCGTTATCATTCTATTGTTCAAAAATTGCTTTGCCAAGTTCCATGCCTCACTGAAATACTTGGCTCTCTTAAGTATATTCAACTAAGTTGAATATTTTAGGGTATTCTTTACCCATTTAAGACAGTTTTCTTAACATATTATTTAAATACTGACCATACTTGAATCTTCTTTGGGACACTTGTAATTTTAAAATTCACAAATCGAGCTTGTCTTCACAGGATCATCTGTTATTTAATCACCTTTCCCATTAGCAAGAAACCTGTCCTCCTTTTCCTTGTTATTTCTAGTGTACTTATTGAACCTTCTCTCCTTTTACCATCCCCCCCAAAAAACCTCATTTTCAAAAAAAACTTGACTAAACCTCATTTTCCAAAAAAATCTTGACTAAATAATTTCATTTAAACAAAAACAAAAAAAAACCAAAATAAAAAAAAAAAAAAAAAAAAAAAAAAAAAAAAAACAACCAAAGATGTAGCTTTTCAGGATACCTTTTTCCCCCCACACAATGGCTTGTGCAAGACTGTGCAGCCGTATTTACACCTTCACATAAGCACACACATGCCAGAGCCAAATCCTCCCAAATTTATTATTTCAGTTTCATCGGAAAGAAGGGCTGAAAAGGAAATATATACTGCAGTTACTCCATATTTAACAGTGTTTTCCTACCTTTTTTAAGCCAGCAAATCCTTCTGATTCCAGGAAGAAAAACGCAAAGGGCATCAACACAAACAAACATAGATTTGAAAAAAGAGAAGCAAGATTCCACAAACCTGCAACAGACAAGAAAAAGTTTACATTATATGTTTCTAAGGTTTAAAAGTTAAAGATACTACATTTTCCTCCCTTATATATAACAAAGTAGTATACATACAAGTGCTAACAGCAGCCAGGTTTTTATGGATACAGTTATTGGCAGGTCATTGCTGAAAAACATCCGTTTCTGTGTAATGATCTTCAAACAAAAATTGGATACCAACTTACACAGCAGCAAACATCTGAAACAACAGACTACTTCCACAAAATCTCATTGAAGGCTCTTTAGAGAACTGTCTTCAAAGTTTTCAGGACAAAAGTATTTTACTGTTATCAGTGAATCTCACAGGAATCAGTTCTGTGTAATCACTTCCTCCAAATTTTTTCCAAGAGAAACTCCGACAAACCATGGATTTTAACATGAGCAATACACAAATGCCATTGTCACCTCCAAACCAGAAGATAGCAACAACAGCCTTCCACTGGCTCAGTAGGCAAGAGGAGAGCAGTAGATGTTGTTTACCTCAACTTTAGTAAGGCTTTCAATCATCTCCTATAAATCCCCTCACAGTCTAATTAAAGAAGTAAGGTCTAGATAAGTGGACTCTGAACATTGGATCAGCTTCTGGGCTCCCAGGGTTGTGACCAGCAGGACAAAGTTAGGCTGGAAGCCAGTCACCAGTGCTATATAAACCCCAAGGAGTTCATGGTGGGTTTAACATCTTCATCAGTGACCTGGGTGATGGCAGAGACCACATCCCCAGCAAGTCTGTTCAAGAGAGAAGAAGGGGAAGAGCAGTGTCCTCCCCCGCCACTCCAATGAAGCTCAACAGGCTGGACAAATGGACAGAGAGCAAAGAAGAGCAGACTTGGGGAGATTTTATCAATATCTGATATCAATATCTGATGAGGGAGGAGGAAAGGAAAACAGAGTCGGATCTTCACAGTCGTATCCAGTGAATGGAGAAGAGGTAATGAGCATGAACTGAAAAACTGGAAAATCTACTTTGCCATAAGAGGAAAGAAGAAAAACAAACAAACTAAAAATCCCAAATGTTTTCCACTGTGAGCGTATTCAAACACTGCAACAGGTTGCCCATAGGTTTTGTAACCTCCACCCTTCGACATATTCAAACCCAAATGGGCAGTGCCTTGAGCAGCCTTCCCTGACCGACTCTGCTTGGAGCAGGTTATTTCCAGAGCTCCTTCCAACCTCAGCCATTCTCAACCACGGGAAAAATCAACACCTACTTACAACTAGGACATCTGTAAGACACATGTGACATCTGCAGGAAGGGAATAGGTTTAGCAAACAGCCTGAAGTGACAGCTAATCTCCATTAGGGTATCTGCTCTATAAAGATTTTTTTAAGCTGAACACTTTCTGAACAGCCAGTTTCTGGTGCCTAAACATAAACCCATCATCACTCATCCTATCAGAAGTCGTACAGGATGTGGTGTTTCTTCTTTATAAAAGCAGAAGCTTACCTGCAGTTTTGCAGCTAAGAGGTCTAACTACTGTCACATGTTCTGCATCCTGAAAAAAACAGCTTTTACTTTGTAGAGAAAAACAGACTTAGTCCCTCACCTTCCCTAAAGTGCACGTTTCCACAATTCTGTGAGACTATGTTATATCACCTGAATATCACTGAAAAAAGAATATCCCCCATGATAAGAAAATTTGAACTAACAGCTTCGTTTGTTTCCTTTCTTCCCATGTAGAGTTTTTTTTTCCTTTTCTTCTTTGAAACTGTTCATTTTGGAAAGAATAGGTAAGGAAAGAGACATTTACTGGGTGCATGGGGAATTCACTATTGAGAGAATTTCTGTATGTAGTTCCAAATGTAAAATACTTAGCAGTCATCTTCACCTATACCCTCCTAAAAAATGCTTTCACCACATACTTCCTTTCTCCTTAAATGACACTATTTAAATCTGAAGAAGAAATAAAAACAAAGGGGGAAGAGGGAGGCAGGGGACCAAAAGAACTACTACTTCAGCAATTGACAGCACCAGGACACCAGGAACTAAACTTAGCCAAATACACCACAGAAAAAAACCCGAGAAAATTCCAATAGATGCGTGAAATATAACACTCAATTGCTAAGGAAAACAGACTGCCTAAAGGTGGCTAAACTCCAGCTAACAAAGAAGGGGATTTTTCCTTTTGAATTTGCTTAGCCAGGAAGCTCCTGTTACCATTCGAGAAACATTCAGGCATAGCAACATCAGCAAGAATGTCATTAACAGCCCTTAGGAGGGGACATTAACTCAAGCAGTCTGCTTTTTTTTTCCTCCCTAACAAGTAAGACACCAGAGTTAGAGTAGAAATACTACTAGATGGGGGTGGGAGTCTTATTTCAGCAGTTTTCTCTAACTGAAGACAGACAGTGCATTTAGTCACCTAATGCAAAGCTGAATACCTGCTTGTCCTAATTTCAGCAGCTCTATTACACATGTATCTTACAATACAAAACAGTGCTTAGGTGCTGCACAGCATGTAGAGCATTTTAAGGAAGGGAAGAGTGGTGCATATCCAGGTGATTTTTAAGAAGTTAAAATCCACAAATTTACACATTATCAGTTGATACCAACCACATTTACAGAATATTAAATTACAGAGCTACAACATGCACCTGAAGCCGAGAGGGAAGGACAGTGACGTTCTGCTGCTGACAGACAAAAGCACGTTCCTCCAAGGAAGGAACATACAGAGCCCTCCATATTTCTTATCCTAATTTGATAGTCCAGAAATCAAATTAAAATAGACCCAGAAAAAGAATTATTTCCTACTACACTGACTGCATCATAAAACTGCAAGAGACTTGCAGACATCAACATACAGAAAAGCTTTAAGCTATTAGAATATTTTAATTTTTTTTCCTTTGCATCTGTAGTGACTTTAGAATGTCCCCCATAAAACACGTTAATAAAACACAGAAATTAAAAATCTCTCAGTCTTTGGCAAACAGATTAGACCCTGAGCAATTTCTCATCCTTCTTATTCATGGCAGTTTCATTACGTTTTACCCCCACCTGGTGGTTGTACCCAACAGCAGCACAGGGGAACACCAGCTGTCAGAACTAGTTCTGGGTTTAGTTCAGCATGTATTAATTAGGTAAGAGTGCTCATAATGGATCCAGGTTTTAGAAGTTTTTTCTGCCTTTCTGCCTAGTTTCAAAAATTTGAGGCATATATTTTGTACTTTTCTATATGCCACAAATAAAGCAACTATGTGAAGCATAAAATTCCTTAGTGTCAGGTTCAAGAACCTCAGATTACAGCTGTAATTGATAAATCTAGAAAAAATGAACTGTTTTCAGCAATACAAATTCTTCCATTTGATAACACTTGCAAAGCAGTACACAAGCCGTACACGAAGGCTGTGCTGGACAGAGACATAACACTGGCTGGGCTCCAGTGCTTGTGATGGCACTACGAGCTCTCACAGCTCGCACAGGTATTTGGCGCTGACCTCGCCGAGGTCCTGCCAGACACGAACAGGGTTTAGAGCCGGGAAACGCGGATGTGCAAACCCGGCCAGTGCCACAAGAGGGAGCTCTTCCCCCAGGGAAACGTTCCCGCACACAGATCCAAAACCTCCCGATGCTCCTGGAGTTCTTCACACCAATTTAACTCACACAGGGTTTACCACGGTCATACCTGCCCCTACGGTAAGCTTTGCAATACACACACCTGGAAGCACCGAAATGCTGAATTTACTTTCTTGCTATAGTCACTGCTATTGGACTTACAGAATATAAATTAACACTGTGCAGGCATAAAGTGGTACTTTCCAAAGATTACCACATTAAAATCAAAAGAAGATGGTCACTGGAAAATTCAAAAGCCTTCTTATTTGACAGCTACTTACTGCAGCAGCTTTCTTGTTAACCCAAGCTTTCTGCTGTAGTGTAGCAATTCTGACAAAGGGAAAAATTCTGAATTAGCTATTATATCATTTTCAGTCTCTGAAATATTTTACTGTCCTTTTTCCAAAGACAATTCAGACATAGAAGGAAGGATTTACTTTATTTTTTTCTTATGTGTGCAAGTAAAGCATGTAAAGGTCTGAGCAGCCAAAGCCATGTGAAAAATGAGAATTAGCTGGGGGTTTTTTCCTCCCATGGAGGAGACATACCAAATTAACAATCCCCTACGATGTGTGACAAAACAAATCATAGAATAACTCAACTAGAAAGAACCTCTAAAGTCACATAGTCTCATCTGCCTTTAAAAAAAACTAAACAGCAGGTGCAATCAGGTTGCTCAGGGCTTTAACCAGCTGAGTTTTAGAAAACTTTCAAGATCTCCCAGTGTCTCTGGACAACCTTTTTGACTGTCCAATCATCCCCAATGTGAAGAACTATCCCTTTATGTTCTGCAAACACCACTTCTGGCCTCTCACTTCACAAAAAAGCAAACAAACAAACAAACAAAAAAAAACACCCAAAACTCATCCTTGCAAGTGAGGGATCTGGAAAGTCATGAATTTGCTACTTGTGTTGTTAGACATTTAGCAAAAGCATACATTTTTTCAGAGAAATATCCACTCAAGCCAAATTACTATCTGTTCACGAGAGCTAAAAGGACACCACAGTTAACTTGTAAATTATTTGTTCCATATTAAATATTTTCACATAGTAAACCTACTTTCTCCAGCCAAATCTACCAAAGAACGTCCTGTTTTCACCAGTTACTATTTTACTGCACATCTTTACCACATGATATGCTTATATTCATAGCAAGTTTCTTAAAACATGTTTTTTTATATTGAGAATAAATTTAATAGCTATCATCTTAAAGAGAAAGGAACATGAATCTTGCATTAACACACAAGGAAGAAGCTTGAATAGCATGTTTCAAGTTAGCTTCTAGTAGCTCTTATTTACATTAATATTCAAAGCAATGAATTTGGTTTAATTCCATCAAGTCTGCCTAATTCTTAAAAAAAACCCAACAGAACAGTTAAGACAGATTTTGTGAAATATCACACAGCAGCAAAAACAATGAGCCAACAGAACATTAACAATTCAATTAGCATATTAAATGAAAATGGAGTTATCAGTTTGAAAATAAGAACACATCTGTGCAAGTATAATGAAGACATCCATTTTAATTACATTATGCCGAGTACTAACCATGAATTAGTGAGCCATTTAACCACTGAATATAGTAGTTTTGTGGAAAAGAAAGCAGGATCTCATTGCTGATTATTGAGAAAGGTAGAAGCAGGACTGCACCAGCTGAAACTGCTAGAGTGAAGGTGCTCAAGAACAGCCTGAAATTTAAAGAAATGTACCACTGTTACCACCAACATGTTCTGAACAGGGGGGGGAAAAAGTAGTTAGCCTACCTGTCAATCAGTGTCTGAAGGCAACACATTCTTACACTGTAAATGGGCAGGAAAAACTGGGATTTCCACAACATTTCACTTCCAAAAACCAAATTTAAGTTTTCAAATAGCTTACAGAATCCAGTAAAAGAATTAGTTTTTACCAACTACCACGATTATTCTCTTGGGACTTGCATGCATTCAATTCCAATGTGATACAAAGGTTAAATCACTGGAGTTCATGAAATATCTTTTCATAAGTCTCCTCTTTTAGTTTTCATTTCCCACATACACATATATGCAAGAAAATAAAAAATCCATTTCTATATTCTTAGTACAATTTTTAAAAGCAGAGCAGCTTTCTAATGTCTAAAGAGTACAATTTTACATAAATACTTTAACACCAAATTTAAAAAAAATTGCTTTTCTTTCACAAAGTAGTTATTTTAGTTATCATCTCATAGCTGTAAAGTCAATACGCAGAAATTGTCAGAATTATTTCAAATATTTAAGCTTTTTCTTTGCAGATCTCAAATACAACTTACAGCAAATGCCATCTTGTGGCATTAAAAAGAACTGCGTTCTTAGAAAAAAGAAAAAACAACAAAAACATTCTTACAGAACAAATACAATGCTACAATAAAATTAGAAATAATTCTAAAAATAGCATGACAAAAAACGTGATCTTAAATAGATCATCACTACAACAGGAGCATCAGTAACTTACTTACAGAAATTTTACTTTTCCTTAACAGTCTACGCATCCATTTTTCATTTACACAATACTTAATCAAGAGAAGAAAGTCTGAGTGACTAATTTTATTTCTAAAAATATTCTTATGCCATTGTTGTTGGTTTCTGAGACTTTTTTTTTTCATTGATTTAAGGATGTTTAAGTATTCTAAGACAGAATTGTGAAACCTAACACACTACAGAAAGGTGCTACAGCAGTTTGGTTTTGTTTTCTCTACACACACCCCTCTTAAGTCCTGACAATTATGCCACGTGAAGAAAAATCTGGGTACAGATGCTTGAGAGTTATTGCTTTTTGAAAAACAACATGCACACTCTTAAGGAACAAGAAGGCTTATGCTGAAAGAAAAACAGCATTTTGTATTTATAACAACACTTTTAACAAAATGCTATTACTCTGATGGAAGTGCTAAGCTTGTCTTAAATTGTTCTTCATGTAAACACGGTGTATGTTTGTTGTATTTTAAAGCTAAATTAGAAAACAAATGCAGGGGGTTAACAGTTAACAAGACAAATTTTACCCTTTGAATATTGAAAAATGCAGAACCACAGGTGGACCACAGGTGCTATAAAAATGATTCAATCTAGAAGAGCCGTCACTGTAGTCTTAAAAGCACAGGAGAGATGTTCCTGGACTTGAGAGGGAAGAGCTTCATGGCATTTAAAAATATGTATTGTTCTCTAGATCTGAAGTAGACCTTGTGGCAAATAAATGTTTTGAATTCATAAAAAGTATCAGTATCACACTACTGGGAGAAGTGCACCTAAGATTTACATCTCCTTTGTACATCTATTTTACATCTTGTGCTTGCCACCACTGCACACCTAAAAGTGAACAGCTTGCAATGTACTCGGCACCTTCCCAGGGTACAAGACAAATCAATAAAGTACTCAAAGAGCTCTCCTTCCAAGAGGATGACAGTACCACCAGGGAAGAGGTAAGAACATTGTCATAAGCAAGCAGTAGGTTCACACAGTTCAGCAAATCATGTAATTGAGATGGTAGCAACAGCTCACGGATGTTCTGTAAATCCTGAGCAATATTTAAATAGGAGATATTAATATCCAGCTTCATAAAGCAACAGGATGAAGACAGAGTTGCTGGCAAACAAGTAGGTCTGGCAAGTGTTTGTCTTCCACTTGTTATTCTTTTTTAAGCTTTTTTACAATGATCAGATACAGATGTCTACTTCAGAGGGAGCTAACTTTCTTCCCAGGATCCACAGCCTCCCTTGACAGGGCTTCCATGGACTACAGGGGGAACTTTAAATACCTGCATTTTAGAGATCTAAACTTAGGTGCAGGTCTTGCACTGAGTTCTACCTCTTGCATCAGGTCTTCACACAATATTCTGGCTAATGCAATGTTCATGCCTACCAGGAAAACCATAGGTGAAAAAAGCCCTAGACCAAACTTTGATAGCACAAGGTACCACGTAACCAAATCTTTTTCCTCTGTCCTCTAGCAATCTATTTGCTGTCACATCTAAAAAGGGCTGTTATTTATCTGAAAGTACACAAGATTCTTATCATAACAATATATTCAGGAAAAAAAAGTTCTGCACAGAAAAGCTATACATACGATATTCTGTTAACAATGGCATCTTCATCCTCTTGCTCATCTGAAAATTAAATTACAGCAGGTTATATTCAATACTTACATGTCTTTCCTCAGGCTAAAATGTATATACATAGGAATAATTTTAATTTACAATTAAAATTTAGACATACAATTTATTAGCATCAATATTTTAAGAAGGTTCCTTCCAAAAATGAATACTCTTGCCTTTTTTTTTTCCTCTAGTTGAACTCTCTTCAATCAATGTAACAACAAAGTTATTTCACTTGACTTAAATATGCAGATCAAAATTTCTTGGAAATACCTTCCAGAGGGCTCTGTGGCAAACACACCTTCAGACTACTACTGCCATGGCTGCTACTAGAAACTGTCCCTTTGGGCATCTCTGAAACCAGGGAGAGCAGGCAAGCTATAGCAAAGTCTTAGGGTCCAAGCTAATTACTGCTGGAAATCCCTAAATAGATGTTTCATTTTCAGTATTAATGTCTTCTCAAAACAAGAAAGCATTCCCAGAGCAGTAGTGATGACTATTCAGTTGCTTCCCCTTACTTATCCCTCTTCCCAGTTCCTGGAGGTTTGTGACAACAAGGAAGGGTCTTGTTATTCTTGCTATTTGTTTTGGATTTAAGGAATCATGGCTTCCCTTCTGGTATTTCACATTTCAGACAATTTTTGTTTATTTATTCCTCGCTTAATACTACAACTATTTGAAATAATATCAACATCTAACTAAGAGATCAATCACTAACACATAATTTATTCTTCACAATCTTCTCTACATCAGTACACAAATGTAAGCATTTTTAAATTTGAAATCATTTTACATTCAGCTTTCTTGCATTTGTCATATGTTATTTCCATAAGAGGTAAATCAAATTTATTTTAAAATCTAAGCATAAATAAAGTCAGGTGTTTTATGTACTTAAGAGTCATGCACACACTTGAAATAAACATGTAACCACTAATACCATGCTATTTTGAAATTCTTCTGTGAAAGTACATGGGGTTGTTGGGGTTTTTTTGATGGGAAGCTCATGGTATTTTGAGAGACTAAGTCAAGGTCTCTTATGAATCATTTTGGCTAAAGAGCTTTTTGGATAAAGAATGAACAATTTGTCCTTAAAGAGTTCCAGTTGTGTTAACTCTTCAAAAATGTCTCATCAGGAAGATCCTATCAAGCTACAAGGTTTGTCTACCTAAATACTCACAGAGCTTTCACAAAGACAGCTGCAGAGCAGTTCCTCTTCCTAGCCAAGACTAAGTGCCAGAAAAAGGTAGTAAAAGTGTCTTTGCATCCAACAGTATTTGCCAAACCAGTTTCCTCTTCCTGTTTTTCTGTATATCCAAATGGTAACAGCTTTGTAGTACCCAAAATACATATTAGGATCAGAGGATAATGTCAGTCTTACTTCCTACGTTTAAAGAGATGCATCTTTTTTTTAAGGTATTAAATTTCATGAAGCATTTACTTTTTAAAATGTGACTCCTTCTATGAAAGCAGCTCCATCATAACACAGGTCACTATAGCTGAATAAACAGTTTCCATTAAAGCTCAAAGTGCCAAGATCATCATGCACAAGAATGTTTCTACAGTATGACTGACTATTAGCAAGCACCAAGGTCCCAGATAAGCTGCCAAGAGTCAAAGATTCTGACATTTTATACAGATTTTTATGCTACTGCCTTTAGAAAAAAATATAGATGAAAATGACAGGGCTTCCTACAGCCTAGTTTCAGACAGACAATCTTTCTAAAGGAAAAAAAATTATAGTATTATCTCAAGAAATAAGACTTCAGTGGAAGTCATAAGGAACAGGTTAAGAATACTAAAATAACTTTACCTGAGCAAAGCAGGACTTTTAGAAGAAATAAAGCACTTTCCTTCTGTATCACTGGTAACATTTTACTTTACCAGCTAAAGCTGTAAACTTGATTTTGGTGCTAAAACAGAGCTGAAAATACTTATTCTGGAAAAGTTGACGTGAAAGGAGAGCAACAGGATCTAAAGGCAAAGGAGGCAGAAGCGTCTACTTGACATCAATCCCTTTCTTCCCTCTCAAAAAAGTTAAAATTTAGGCTGTCACAGCACCACAACAGAACCAGTGACTGTGGTCCTCCCACTCAATCATAGAGTGAGAACGCCACTGATCCCCTTCTGAGACACTTCAGTGCTCTGCCTGCCTTGCTTGGTGATCCCACATGGCACAGTGAAGGACCTGAGGAGTGCCAGAGTAGGCCCAAGGGAGGATCTGGGAACTCATGGCTCAGGGACAAAGGAAACAGAGAGAGGGCAGGACAGCAGCATAGACAGCAGCACAGACAATCAGGTCAGTCCAGGCTGTCCCAGACCAGCAGCCTGGCAAACACTTTTGGTCAAGGATCTTGTTCTTCTGCTTTCTTTTTTCAGAGAGAAGAAAAATCATCTATTCCCTTGAAAAACAGAATTATTTTTGGATATGTTAAAAATTCTGTGCTTACCTGCTTTCCTTTTGTATCTTGTGATTATGAAGTAGGAAACTATGTAGAGAACAGCAAACAGGAGAAAACAGATCTGGAAAAGAAAAAAAAATTCCATCTATTAGGTTGTGAAGAAATGTCTGGATTTTAATAAACAGAAAATCCAGTCTCAACAATTTAAAAATTAATTCAGATCAACAAGAGTGTATTCTATGTAAATTTCAAGACTCTTACATTTTATATCTTATTAATAGAAAGCTAAACCCATAAGAACAGTTTAATTAGAATAACAGGTACTGGGCAATTATATGGCCAGCAAGTTTTACTCTAAAATTAAGAAAAAAGCCTTATTTACAGTGTGATTTTTTTTTTTGTCTGGGGGAGGGCTGGGTGGAGTGGGTTGTTTTTTGAAGTTTGAATCCACTTGAGTTGTGAAAGTTATCAGACTTATACGCCCTTCACATGTAACCTAAGGATAATTGTATCTTATACAAGGGGCTCTCTGAAGATCTATTTTGGAGTAAGCTGTAAAGCTGTGGAAAGAAAGAAACGTGTTTACTATTTCCATCATGTCTTGAATCAAACTAATTCCAGGCGACAATACACACTCCAGAGAGACTCGTGTGCCTACACTGGATGTCCAAGCCTGAGCTCAAATATGATGCTTTCTTCACAGTCAGAAGCCAGGGGCACAATCTTCCTCTTCATAGGGCTGGGGCTTATTTAGGTCAGCTGTACCTTGAGCCCAGAGTGACTTGCATCAAGTTGTTTCTAAGACGTAGCACCGGAATTTCAACACAATAAGGTAAGACCAAATCACCTACAAATATGTCAGAAATCTTAGAGGAAAGGAATCGAACAGCAGGACAGTTTTAACCCTCCAAGTCTTTGTGGGGTTAAAAAAAAAAAAAACAAAACACATTTTATTTGCTCCTGAATGAGGCATCAGTGGCTCAACACTGTTTCCTCCATCTTGGGTGTTGATATTATTAAAAACGTGACTCAGTCAGAAACGCAGCAAGAAGGAGCATCTTCTGTGCAGCAAAATAACTTCACTGGGCAACAGCTGATCTATTTATTTAATCAACCATTTGTAGATTTGTTGCCTTGAAAAACTCACTGTCTTAAAAAACTCAGGAGCAGAAAAGTTACCCTAAGAAAAAGGGAAAAGTGAAAGAGAAGGTAGTGATGATAACCCTGGAAAATGTGCATCTAAGTAAGCATATTGCATCCAAGTCAGCAGATTCAGAGGGAGCAAGAATGCATTATTCAAGAAGGACAGCCTTTTTATAAAATACTGATAAAAATAAACTGAGAAAGTTATTTCCCTTGTGTAGTCAGACATTTCAGATTTAAAAAACCAAAGTATATCCAAGTATCTGAGCAAGGCATTTGGGTGCCTGGAACTGCCCTACAGGTGCCTCCCAGAAGTAGGACAGTGCTGTAGGTCTGAAAGTGGCAATCAAGCTCATTCTCTGTGCAGGCAATACACAGCAGCAACACCCAAAATACAGATGCTGAAAATTAGATTTCATTACTAGATCTCCGAATTCAAACATTTAATCTGAATAGAGCTCACCACTCCAACTTTCCTGAGGAAGCTTCAAAGAGGAAAAGGTTTTGATAAAGAATTCAATTCTTTAAATAAATAATTCTAATTATAAATAATGTTATTAAGATTTAATAAAAAAGGTTGGTATATTTTTGAATCAGGAAGAACAAAAGAAACTGAGAACAGCCTTGGTTTTTCAGTACTCTGACCCAGCTTATCCTGTCAGTATCAGAAAATGCAATGGCAGTGCTGAAAGAGAATCCTTCTCCAAGCTTCCAGTTCCTCTGAAAACTAGACCAAGGCTACAGATAGAGACATCTAATTTTAGGCACCCACTTTTTAAAATCGGGTATCACATACACAAGGTCAGTGAATTCTTTAAAAATCTGTCAGATCCAAATAACACTGTACTGACGTAAACGAAATATGTAGTTAAATTCATTTTTTGTTTAATTTTATTTAAAACAAGAATAAAAGTTACTGCAATCTTGTTTGTACCTTCAAATAAAACAAATGACCTTTATTCTATCTGTGATAGCAAGGTTACAATGAAAATGTGGGTCTGTGCTTAAAAAGGTACCACTGAGATAAAGGAGATGTTTTGAAGGGCACAGCAGATAAAAGCTGTCCAGTAACCAAACTATCAAATGCTGCATTTCTGGTTTTAAATAAGAGCTACTTTGCAACTCAACAGTAAGGGGTAAGTATGTATCTTGGTGTAATCATGCCCCTACTTCTGTCAGAATTGAGAACAACTTTGTACATGTTTGATAAAGTTGTTTATTATTGAGAATTCACATAATTTTAAAATGATGGGCAAGAAAACACATAAATTCTGATAAATGAAAGATGAAGGATCTTAGCAAAAGAGAACTCATAAACTAAAAGTCCTTAAAACTGACCAAAACAAGTCAAGCAGCAAACTCAGAAATATTACTGCAGTCTCAATTTATGCTCGGTGAAACCTCTGATCCTGAACTGTCTCTAACCATGCATTCTGAACAGCTTTCTAAAGGGAATAGCTAAAGTCAGCATCCTAACTATTTATAGAGTGGAACTCAGTTAAGCTGGGGAAAAGGAATGTGTTGCCCATGATAGCTGAAGAATAGGCTCCACTGTCCTGACATGCTGCAATCCTGGGTTCTTATTCCTCATGCTGCTGTTTGTTTCAGGATATTTTGTACTGGGAAAAAAGAAAACCAGCTTTGTTTGTACTTGCTCAGCTTCAGTTTATGTTTCTCATATGAGTGACTGGGCTTGTGTGCAGCACTCCAGGTACAACCTTGCAGCTGTATGGAACAGCATGAAGTCCTTCTTGCTGTGCTGAAAGTGCTTCACCACATTCACCTGAGTAACTCAGCATTGTCCTCTGATTCACTGGATCCATCCACACTGTCTTTTCCAACCACTTCCAGCAGAGCAGCTCTCAAGTTACAGTAGAAATGTGGATTTAGAGTTCATCACCACATGTTTTTTTTTAAAAAAACCCACACCTTAACTCACACTATGTCTATGGCTTTGGGGCAATTGAGTCCTTTCTAACCACTTTCTAACCCTTTGTTGTGTTGACTACATCTCCTGAAGAACTAGGTTTGTGCTAACAACAGAGTGGTTTACTTCATTTTCACCTAAGTTGAGCAAGACTGCTCTTAATGCTACCTGAGGAAACTCAATGGTAGCTTTTTATTCCCCCCAAAACACACCACCTTTTGTCATGTACAATACAGCCAGTTTCTTAGTTACTTTACAGCTCTTCCACTAAGGAACACTGACCCTAGTTTAAGAAATACCTTTTAATGCATTTCCTGGGTACAGCCCTTGGCATCCACAAAAGGAACACTCTAACAATAGCCATGTGGCTTCAGAAAACACAGTTCTTAGCAAGTCCCGATTTGACCTTCTCAAAAAACCCCTGGAAGAGAGCTAATTCTCATATGCATATGTTCATAGTACCCTAAATCATCTGTCAGCTTTCATTTCTAATCACTTATTAAAAAGCACAGGCAGTCATACTGAAATAGGGCACTACTCAGAACACCATAAAAAAAAACTACATCTATATCTTCAGTGGAAAAAAAAAAGCCTTTATTCTTTCAATTCCATCTTTTCTTCAGAAAACTAGCATACGTGACTGCATTGGAGCCAACACTGAAATATAATGCTAAATCTAAATCATTTTGCAAGCTGTTTCCAACCAAAAAGCGGGTTCATGCCATCATCTCTACAGTAAGAGCTGACAAAAGTTAAGGATACTAAAATACAGCAAATCTAGGACAAGCTATATTCCTCAGATCCCCAAGTTCTCAGCAAGGAGTTTTTCACTGGAGCTCAAATGAAGCTCTTTCAGGTTTGATTTGCAGAGACAGTTAAGACACTGTGCAAAGACTGCACCCAAATGTGATAAGTAAGGGTTTCTGACAGCCCCCGATAGTGTTAACTGAAAAAAAAAACGAGAAAAAACCCACACTTCACAAGAAATAATACCTTCCAATATTTATTTCCTTAAATTCATTCAAACTTTGAGAGACAAAGTAGTTGTGGATCTGTTGCTACAGTTAGACTGGGAACTACTCTAAACGCAACTACGGCGCGTTCTCACCTCGTGGGGAAATACAACTCAGTCCATGTTTGACCAGATGGATCAGAACATAAAGGAAATTAAGAGGAGTCCAAGAAATGTATACAGTTATAGCCAAACAGTCAAGTGAAGCAATTCTTAATCATTTTTAATGTTTGTGTGTGTCCCCTCCACACCACTCAGTAACTAAAAACGAAACACGTGGATTCTATGTCACATAGAGGGGCTCCCTTTTAACAGGGGGCACGTTAAGGAGTCTTCAAACCTCATGCGTGTAATTCATCCACATCTCTTCCCATGGACCAAATACAACCTCTGGTGGGACAAGAAAAAGAAACCTGTCTTCCCCTGGAAGTGCTTTATGCTCCTGCTTAGATTACACACTAGACAGGCCAAGAGAGGCTACTTGGAGACACACTGCACTACATTCTTAGGTATCTGGTATCCAACTCTTCCACAGAGTCATACTTCTGGATTTCTCACCCAAAGTCATCCAAGTATGATCCAAGTCATTCTTTTGGATCTGTAGCACACAGCTCCTGTGAGAATGGAGCTGGAGATTACCTGCATACATTTCAGTTCGTAACTATGTGTCTCTAAGGGGCTGACATTAAACACGAGCAATAACAGCCTGAACTAATTCAAATTACACTGTACTTATCCCACTGACAATTACCAAGGATCAGCTGACACTAATTTGTCCATGTGGATGACCTTTAAAACTCTGGCACTGAAATTCATGCCTCAGATTGGAAAAAGCATCATTTTTTGTTGCAAGGGCTAGAGCTACCCTTTCATGATAAGAAAGACTATGCTCAAAATGAATAAGATTCTCCTTTTTTTTCTCTTACAAACAAGATTCAACCATCTTTTACAACTGTAATTCATGTGTGTGTGCATCAAAAGCTGCATTTTCATGTACAGGAAGATTCACAGATTCTATTTATGTAACATGGAATTATTC